TTAGTTAAATATGGTACAAGTAGGCAAGCTAGCATTTAACTTGCTACATATGTACGTAAGAGATGTTGTTTCTTTCATGATGTATACCTTGTAATATACAATATCAAATAAAGAAATGATGTTTACCTACTGGGATAACCCTCCAAAAAAAAAAAAAAAAAAAAAAAATTAATTATTAAAAGTTTAATATAATAAAAAAAAAGCAAAAATCTAATTCAAATAAAATAAACAAAATCTTTTAAAAAAGTTGATATGTTTAAAAAATTTAAAATAAAAACTTAAGAAAGATAATAAAAAATTTTTAAAAAATCAATAATATGTAAGTAAAAGTCTTTTTTATAACTTTTATTTATTACTTATATAACTGATATATCAAATATCAAATATATTAATTAACTATTAAAAATCTATCAAATTACAAGATATTTAGTTACAATAGAAAAACTTATTTTTTTAAAATTGGGATTTTTTGTAAATAGAGAATAAAAGAAATAAATACGTAATTTATAAAATTAAAACTAATCAAGTGTTTAAAAATAAGTTACAGTATAAGTTTCAACTCTAATTATTAACAAGGTTATTAATTTTAAGTGGATATTTATAATTGATTGGTATTATTTCAGAGATAGTACTAGCTTTAATATTTGTTTTCTATATAACTGAGATATGTTTCATAAGCATAAGCAAACTAACATTTATTATAATATTACTTGTTATTTAAGAGATGTTATTATTTTCTTCATGTATAAGTGTCTATATATACAACTAATTAAGTAATGATGTTTTAGTTCATATATAAAAAGTTAATACAATATATCATTATGACAAAAAATACATGTCGGTTCTCATATTTTAGATACAGAATAATTAAAGATTATAGCATATAGTAAATAATGAATGAATACACATTTCCACATTCGCGCGCATTCTTTTGATTGGCCGATGCACATATTGCGCATTGCATACAGTCAAACGTTAATTAATTAAAAACTTTCATGCCTGTCGTACGAGTGTAAGCATCGATTGGACAGATAAATCTAGATTTTGGAAGAAAAAAATTTTTTTTTGTTAGAAACCTTAATAATTAATAATGTTCAGATCAAAGGGGACAGATTTGATTCACAAAGGCACTCGTTGTTATGCCTCTGCGATTCAACTGCCGTTCCACCCACACTATGTTCCTCTGGGTAAGCAACCCGTCATGAGGCGGAATCCGACCAGCGGTAGGAAAAAAGGCTTAAAAAGTTCATATACTATTCCTTCATGGAATTTAGGCGTTGCCTCTCAGAACAAAGATCAAGTAATAGGGTTGCCAGCCGGAGTGGTGGGGTCTCAAGAATTGATTTTCCTGGAGATCCCTTCAGTTAATAATAGGTCACGAATAGTAGAATTTGGAACAAGGGAGAAAAGGGGGGATCAGGAGAGAAAGATCCCGATTTTGTTCAGAATTTCGACTATATGCTTCGTTGTAACCGGAGTTTTTCGAAACTTTTACCGCCACGAAGGCATTTTGAACAATGACGATTATGGAAGCGCGACTTTAAAGTTGCATGAAGTTACAGACACTTCAAAATGTTCGTTATAGCAGTGTCATCATCTCGCTGCGCTCAATCTAGCAAATGTCTCCTCAAAACACGTGTTAATGAAAAAGGTTTGTTTGATTTGTGTACATAAGCATATAAGCATAAAAAAAAAGATTGCATTTAAAAATGGTAGCTTCGACAGTCAACATGAATATTCTCTTCATATAAAAATTTAATCACACATGTAAAAAAATAATTTTGGTTAATAAATTCATTGTTAATTATAACAACTTCAAAATAAAATATTACATTAAAATAAGAAATAAATCACAAACTCCCGATTTCAGAAGGCATAATGAATAAAGAAATTGCACCTCACGAAATACAAGCAATCTAATCGTTTTCACCGTAATTTTCTAGTACCATATCATTAAGACCAAGAAACTCATTTTGCTCAAAACTTCTTTCGTAAACCTCTATTTTCATATTCGGATCGGGATCTAAGTTAGGGGAATTATAATTGGAATTTAGTCGACAGGAAATCAATAGAGTAAAATGGATGATAACGAATAAGAACCTGGAGCATATGGATTCTGTAGATATGAATTAGATAGCGGATCGTCCAATATCAAATGAACAGGAAAGCTTTCGCCAGTAATGACTTTATTCAACTTTTTCATAAAATTTTCAAAGGTGGCTTTACGTTCTTTCTGCACACTGTCACCACTGACAAACGGAATCTTGTTTTGTAGTTCGTCATAGACCTGCCTTAAAAGTCCTTCAACCGTGGTAAATCTACCCCCTAGTGTACCGGATTGAAGTTCAAGGTCAACTTCAGGAATTGATAGTCCGCATGTTTCTGATTTCAAAATATCACGCGATAAGTCTTCAACATCTTCCATCTTAAGTATGATCCTTTTTCCAGTAGGTGAAATGGGACCACCAGCTTTGACTTCATTCGACTTGTAACCACAAGACTGATTCAAAGTTGGGTCGTTATTAGTAAATGACAGAGGAAACTCTCTTGACCTATTTTTGGGAGTAACTCACATCGCAGACGGTCGACATTATAACAACCTCCTTGAAGTGTGGTATATTCAATAGGTGCATTTTCGTGTCAGTTGGTGCGGAACAATGCGAACAGTTGGCTGGAAACCTCATGACTTCTGGGATTTCGTCTGTGTTCTCTTCAGGAGCGTTCGTATCGTTCGTAGGCTCTAAATATCCTAATGCAGCATTCATCTCAGGAGTCCTATCATATTGAAGAACGTGAAGTTTAGGATCCGGGCCAGGAACGCACAGGCTTTCTATGTAACTTCGAAATAAAGAAGTATAACACTTTAGTTAATCATCCATATTTAACTTGACTAATGGTCAAGAAAATTTCTTACCTATTTCCCGCCGGGTCATCAACAGCTATGGAAAACTCTTCGCTATTCTCCAAGTAACCAGAAAGTTTTTGTATGATAACATCAATCTTATTATATGTTTCTTCATCGGTAGATTTCCTGATTGGTTGATCCGCAGACAAATCGTCAACGATACTAGACACCAATCCTTCGACGGTTGTTAGTCGACCTTTTTTCGTGGTGGCAGGTATTTCAAGATCAAGTTCCGGAATCTTTACGGTTGCCGTTTCCGATTTTACCAATTGACGATCGAGATCCTCTTTACTAACAATTTTACAAGTGTAGGTACAACCATTCTCAGCAATCGACCCAGCAAATTGAACTTCATTATTACTCATACCGCAATGCTAAAGAAAAGTTAAAAAGTTTTTAGGATCAACCAGATTGTCACGTTTCAAAAGTAGAAAGATGATAGTGATACCTCGCAATTAAAGCTCATAATCACAATCTCCCTCCAATATGGAATCTTGGTTAACAATAATTTTGTAATTCCCTTTTAATTTAAAAATTATGAACGATAAAATGATCAAATTAATGAAGTCTGTCCGTAAATTTTGGATTATTATAATCGATTCCTTTACATTTTGCTCACAATTCATACAAAAACTTTCGATCTCCGTGGGCTTTACATCGTTATCGTCAGTTTGAACGACTTCGCCAATTTCAGGAAAGAGATTTTCTCCCTTATTTTCTTCCATTTTTTCGGCCATTTGATAACGATAACAAGAGCGAGGTTTTACTTCTTACGAAAGATCGCATTTTCTTATAACACGTGCTATTACATAAAACGTGCAAATCTCAAATTTTTTTAAATAGATTTGTACGACAAAAAATGTAATTTAATCAAATGGGCCTCTCGGAACCAAAAATACGACAGCGCATTTCTGCCGACCCCAGAAACCTCGCCTGGAGCAATGGTAACTCGCAACTCACATCTCATGCACAGCTTTCTTGACAGAATGTTTGCTTTCACGGAACGTGGTTGTCTCAGGTTTTTTACTTACACTTTCAACCAAATCACTTAATAATAACACAAAGATCGTACGAATTTTGGTTTCAAAATGTTGTCAAAAATGGGTTGGGAGCCCGGTAAAGGGCTTGGGCTTAACGAGGACGGAACATCAGAGAATATTCAATTATCCGTTAAACAAGATAATCTTGGAATCGGTGCTTCCAAGACCGAAGATAATTGGTTAGAGAATTCTTTTGCATTTGATGAATTGTTAAAGGGATTGAACCAGGGAAAACATGAAAATGAGGACGATCTGGAATCAGAAGAGAAAGTAAAAAAATCAAAATCAAAAGATGAATTGAAAAGTAACGACGATTCAGTTGAATTCAAAAAATCCGACGGTATACCGTCTATACGCCTTGCGTATGTATTAGTCTCAGTTTTTTACATCAATGGATGACATGATGATATTTATTCTGAACTTACTAAACACTTCTTTTAAAATGGTACCAGTCATAGAATGAAGTTTTTAAAGAGCAAAAAGGCTTCTGTGAAAGATACTGTACGTTTGAATGAAATTTTTGGGATAAAAACAAAATCTGGTTCACCTGATATCATAAATAAGACCGATGAGATGACTGGCCAATGTAATTTTAGTGATATTTATGGAGTTCAGACGACTGTCAACAAACAAAATGTGAAAGAATACTTTGCTTCGAAGACAAAAGTAACAGGTACCTTTTCTATCAATTCAATTGAATTTCTTCTTGATTAGAACATTTTTGATGACTGACTTCATCGTTCGTGACCGAATTAATTGTACAACTAGTAGAATCAAAAATCACGACATCCGAATACGAACTTGAGGAAAGACCTGTTCTTGGAATGGATAATTTCGAATTTAGCCAGAACGAAAATATGACGGCGTGTACGGGCCTTGGGTTTGTTCCTGATTCGACAAAACGCAAAGAGAAAAAGAAGAAAAGATTAATCACAGACAATGTAAATTCTGATTGCGTGATGAGAAGCGAAAAGAAGAAAAGATTAATCACAGACAATGTAAATTCTGATTGCGTGATGAGAAGCGAAAAGAAGAAAAGATTAATC